GTTTTCCTACGAGTTTTCGTAGGAACCTCTAAATTTGCTACTTAAAAATCGATGTTTCGTGCGAGGCTTCCGTCTCGCAAAAATGCCACGCCTGCCACGGAATCTGCACTTGACGCAGCCCTGCCAATGCGATTCGCAAAAAACACGCAACACGACGCGTCATAGAGTCTAGAGTGCCGCGCCTGCCACGCAAAATGACGATGGACACGTCCAAAGTGTTGCGCCTGCCACGAAAACTGCAAAACGCATCTTCTGAAAACGTCGCAAAAGTATTGCGCCTGCCACACAAAACGATTTTCGACACGTTACAAAACACGTCTGAATGTCACGCCTGCCACGCGAAACGAAGCAACGCGAGGCACGGCCATATAGCAATCGCACGGACGGTTGCGAACGGTTGCGGACGGTTGGGCAACGTCGAGCGAACACACCCTCAACCCCCAGACCCCCAGAGTGAAACAGGATTCCTTGCTACACATTCGGGAAAGAAAGGGTAAGCAAGGGAAAGGAAGGGAACGGAAGGGACAGGAAGGGAAAGGAAGGGAAAGGAAGGGAAAGGACGGGAAAGGAAGGGAAAGAAAGGGAAAGGAAGGGAAAGAAAGGGAAAGAAAGGGAAAGGAAGGGAAAGGACGGGAAAGGAAGGGAAAGGAAGGGAAAGAAAGGGAAAGGACAGGAAAGAAAGGGAAAGGAAGCGAAAGGAAGGGAAAGGAAGGGAAAGGAAGCGAAAGGAAAGGAGAGGTTGGTTTGGAAATCAGCCGCCGTCGCATGACCGTGCTCAAATGAGCTTGCTTGGCTATTGCACACTGTCACCCGATGTTTCCGTGCAGAGCTGAAAAAATGAAATTTGCAGTGAATGCGTCCATAATGTTCATCTTCTAAAAAGATAAGGTTTTGCAGCCGATAGGGGGTCTTTGGAATTTGATTCAATTTGATTCTAGGGTCCTTGGTGATTTAGTTCTACCTCTGATTGTGTGATATATGTTTTCCATTATTTATTTCTTTATCTATCTTATCTATCAAGGTAGGTGGCCTTGGTATATACTAGTGAAATTGATCCCAAAGGAAAGATCGTCTTGGGTTAGTGTCCCTTGGATGTTTCAATATTGTTAATTCTTATCCGTCCTTCGGTAGTCATGCCAAGATGGGGATTGATAATTAGTCTCTCCATCCATTTACCCTTCTATTCGTGGAAGTGCTAGTCAGAACAAACGATCACCATTCGATCGTAGTTCAGATAGTTTTTTTTGGGGTTGGGTACTTCGATACCAGCTTCTACGAGATCACCTCCTGGAATTTTTCCGCGGTGGCAGCGGGCTTTGCTTGTCAGAGTACGAACGATCTCCAGCGTTGGCTGCCATTCATTCCTTTCATTCCATTGCGGCAGCAGAGAGGACGCGTTATCGATCAGCAACCTGACTTACTCTGAGCCTGGCTCTCCGTTTCCGGACTGCAGAGAGGGGTTAACTGACCGCCTGTCTAACTCGGTGTTGCTCCCGGGTATCGAGCCCAGGACCGGTCGGAAGAGGGACGCCGCCATAACCACCGAGCTATTACCGGACCCCATGGTGCCCGATTGGAAGCATGGTGCCCGAATTGGCGAGGCCAGTCATCCGGGTCTTCAGCTACATCCAGGAAAAGACTGGAAAAGAGCTTAGATCTGACGAAGCTTGTGGAACAGTTCATCCAGCCATTGCTCAAGCAGCTTGTGGCGACTCTTGTGCAGCAGATCTCTCAGTCGTTTGGGAGCCAATTTGGATTGCTCAGCTCGACGGATGATTCCGAAAAGGGAGCTGGAGGTGGCAAAGGTAAGGTGAAGACCAAGAGTGGTTTGAAAGATGATGGTGGCAAAAAGCCCCAGAGTGATTCGAGTGGCCGCGGTGGTGGCAAACCCAAAGGCAAACCTCCTCGTTGTTGCGCAGGCTGAGGACAAGCCCAAGGGAAACCAAGGCAAGCAGAGCAATGGAGTTGGCCCTAGCAAGGGCAAAGGCATTGCAAATTCTCATGGTGACAAGAATGCAGGTAAGAAGGACCCAAAGTCTGGCAAAGGCGACGGGACCAAGGATGGTGGGTGGGTCACAGTTACTCACAAGAAAGTCAAGAGCGAAGAGCCTTGGATGCTCAGATCTCAAGATTGGAATGCTCCAGTTGTCCCCTTTTCTGAGGTAACGGCAAAGTTGCGAAGTGCTGATGTTTTCCGTGCAGTCGTCCTTTGTGATGAGCAGCAAGCTGACACCCTTGGGACGATGTTGAATGCGTCTGAGAAGGCGTATGGAGTTCGCAGTGTGCAGTTGCACCAGGGAGATGGTGCTGAACGATGCCCTGGTCAAATTGGCAGCCGCCTCGTCTTCAAACAGGTCAAGTTCAGTTGGGTGAAATCTGATGGCCAATTGGCCCCCGGACTTGCTGCGGTTAGCAACAAGGTCCCCAAGATGCCAACTGTGGAGACGGCAGTGCTCTATGTCAATTTCTTTCAGCGGTTGATGCCAAAGAAAATGTGGGATAATGTCAAGGCAAATCCGCAGAAAGGTTTTCACTCATGGCTCAGCAAGAAGAAACTGCGGGCTATGGAGAGTTGGTCATGGATTGAGGAGAAGATGCCCGATGGGACTTTTTCCAAAATCTTTGGCATAGCGCGTTTTGTTGCTTCTGATGCTTTGAAAATCCTCAAGATGAGTGGTGACGAGATTTTCTTTGACCCTAGCCGCAGTTTCAACATGGCCCCTTTTCATGTTGAGTGGATTGCCCAAGGTGATGAGGAATTTGCTGTTGATTATTTGAAGCGTGCAATGCTATGTGCACGGATCATGGTTTGATTTACAGACACAACAAGCTTGGGCGCCGCATGAAGCGCGATTCCAAGGAACCCATTTCTCGTGTTTGGTTGTTGCATGGTGTTCCCAGGACTTGGAGTGTTGAGCAAGCTACAATGGCAATGGAGACAGCTTTCACCAACGGTGAGCTCTTGCGGCAGAGCCGCCGTCAAGGCGCTGTGGAGTATATCTTCCGCGGCACTTCTGCAACTGCCAATGATACCATTGCCATTCCTGTTGAGACTGAGGACAATGACATTTTGACGTTGTGGGCGCGGTGGGCTCCTCCGCGCAAGAACAACCAGATGATGCGGAAGTGTCATGCCAGTGGTTCGTGGAGCTTGTTGCCTCCGAAGAGCCCTTTTGCAACTGAGACGGTGTGCACACCTGTGGAGAAGGAAGCCAGCAATGCCAAGACCACCGACAACAAGGAGGTGGTCAACAGTGCTCCTGCTACCGAAGAAGGCGGGAAGAAAGGCAAGCATGAGAATGCTTCCAATCCTCCAGCCAAGCGAGTGCGAGCCGAGCAACGTGTACTTCCTCCTGGTGTCAATGTGCAATCAGTGCCAGGGGATGGCAATTGCCTTTTTCATGCTATGAGTCGAGGCATTGCAAAGATCACCAAGGATGAGCCCAAGGGTGCGTCTGAACTCAGAGCTGAAGTTGTCAGTCATTTGCGGCGCCATGAGGACAAGTACATCAAGGACTGGTGCAACGAAATGCCTGATGGCACAATCGCACCAAGCTATGAGGCCTATCTCCAAGCTGTTGCCAAGGACAATGTTTGGGCAGGAGTGACTGAACTGGCTGCTTTGGCCAGAATGTTTGATACGCGTATCATCGTTTTCACTCTGCGGATGCTTGATGAACCTTTTGTCTTCCACCAGAAGCAGAAGAAGCACGTGATTGCTTTAGTATTTGATGGAATGCATTATGATTTGCTTGTCCCTGACAAGAAGGAGTATCCCAAAGTGCTTTTGGACATTTCTGCTCACCCACCTACTGTGCCCATGCGCGGCGGAGCGCGTAGTGGCGCGCGTTCAACACGCACTGTGTGGACCGATAGCAGTTACAACAAGACTTCTCCTGGAAAGCTGGCCCGACCGGCCACTGTGCGGACCAGTTGCATGACGCAGTCCAATGGTGAGTTTGACACCGTCGCTGAAGTTGCCAGTGACGATGACGTGCCAGAAGTTCGTTTGCAGGAGTTTGCCAATGGGCCAATGGTGAGCGTTTGCATGGACCTTCGTATTGGAAGCGTGACTCAAAGTTTGCATGTGGAGATGGTATGAAGTGGTGCTGCCATCTTTGCCCATAGGTCATTCACAAGCCTACGGCCGCCAGCATCAGTGTGGCCCGAACCCATCATCTCCAATATGCTCATGGTGGACAAGATTAGCCTGGCCGTGTCAAAAGGGTTCCCATAAAAGTCATGCTTCTTGCCAAGAAGACTCCTGCTTTGTGGAGGTGTCCGTTGTGTGCATGGGGCATTCCGGCCACTGAAGAGGGACGGGGATGTGTTGCTATTTACAGACGAGCTCGCCGAGAACATCGCCTTGCTGCCCATCCCAAAGTGAGTGCATTGGAGTGGCAGCGACTGAGATTTCGTCGCCGCAGCACCCCAGCCAGTGGTCAGCGAAAGCGCATTGAGAACCTCAACAGAGCAGTTAGCAAGCGACATGGCACTTTGACTTCCAGTGCTTGGGATCATTTTTCTTTTCCTGTCAGGTGGATCAACAAGTCAAAGAGACGTGTCTTTGGAGTTCGCAAAGCGTGGAGGTGCAGAAAGTGCCATTGGTATTCCTGCACAGCCAAGAGAGTTCAGAAGCATGTGTGCCGCAAGAGCCATCATTTCAATGGATTCAAGCCCGGTGTTGCCCTGGAAAAAAGTCGCAAGATTGCCATGAAGCTGCATCGCAGAGGTGATCCAAGTATCCAATGTTTTTCCATTGAGGAGGTGCACCGGCTTTATGACGCGGCCAAGCAGATTGTGATGGACAAGAAGCTATGACTTTGCGTGTTGGTACCATGAACATTGGGCGGTCCGGCATTTCCAAGATTCCGACCGTTCACGATGCTATTCTTGGCCTTGATGTTGTTTCTTTGCAAGAGGTTGACGTCAATCGTTTTAGTTTGGCTGGTTTTGTACAGCAATGGCAGCGTTTGGATTTTCATATTTTATGTGGCAGAATGACCAAAGATGAGAATTTCTGCCGAGTGGCTTTGCTATCCCGTCGTCCTCTCCGACAGTTGGACTTGGGCGACATGGACTGGCCTGACCGATATGTTGCTGGCATCATCGAATTACAGAACGGTGATCAGTTTCAAAAGGTCATTTTTATTTGCATTTATGGTCATGCTGGTGACACTGTGACTGCAAGGGCGCATGCCCAGCAAATTGTACAGCGGGTAGGGCATTTTGCTCTACCATGTGTCATTGTTGGTGACTTCAATCTTCAGATGCAAGACTTGTCCATGATTTTGGCCAATGGCTGGGCTCACTCGTTGGATGAACCCTTTGAAGCCACTGGTCCTCTTCCTCCCACTTGCACTGGACAACGACGCATTGACTTTGGCCTGGCCCATCGTATGCATGCCACTTCTGTGCAGCATTCCCCTGGAGTTGCTGACCACAGCTTGGTAACATATTCTTTTCCGCTGGATCACACGCAGAGCTTTGTTGCGCCGAAGAGGGCAACGGTGGATGTTGCAACCGCAGCCGAAGTTGCAGAGCGCTGGCATTTGAATGATTTGAGTTCTTTCCATTTTGCCTTGGAACGTGCTGATGTCGATGCTGCATGGAGTGCTCTTTCCAATAGCGCCGAGCGCGCGCTGTGTTCTTCTTTGGATGGTTGCCGACCACGTGCTGATGCGTGGGACCCTCGAGATACAGGTGTACCTCACAAGGCTATTGCTTGGAAGGAATCGTTGGTCTTGCGTCAACTTCGTCGTCTCCAGAGGCGTGTGGTGCAGTTGACAAAGCAGTTGGATGACAGACGCTTGAGGAGCGCCATTATTCGTGGTGCACAGCATGTGCGTGCTTTGTTTCCTTGCCTTGACCTGGATTTTTTGCAGAGCAATTTGACTGAGGACCAGTTTCAAATCAGGTTGAGCAGATTGGTTGAGGACCTGGCGCACCTCATCAACACAAGGGAAGGTTCTGAGCAGCAAGCTCGCTTGGTGTCATGGCGGACTAAAATGGTCAGCGATCCAGTTGCTCATCGGCGGTGGATTAAACACCGAGCCCACTTGAAGGTCATGTGGGAGCAGATGGGTCCTGTGCCGGACAAAACCCCCCACTCGCCATGCCATTCACCGGCAACATGTGCTTGATCAGGCTGTGAAATCTTGGATGCAGGTCTGGAATTCAAAGAGTGCTTCGCCCCCTGACTTTCAATCGTTTCTGGACATGACTCCAAGACCAACGCAGGTTGCTTGTACTCTGGCCATAACGGGCGTGGAGCTTGTGCGTGCTGCAAAAACGATGGTTGGCAAAGCGTGCGGCCCTGACAGTTGGCGTGTTGAAGATCTTCTTCTTTTGCCCATGGAGTGGTGGTCGCTGTTTGCCGATTGGTGCTTGCAAGTGGAAGTGTCCCAACGCGTTGGAGTGAAACCAGAGTTGCATTGATCCCCAAGACAAATGGTGATTCACGTCCCATTAGCCTGGCGGCTGTCAGCTGGAGGATTGGTGCGAAGGCCTTGGTGAAACAATTGAGACTTTGTGGGGTTGCCCATGTTTCATTCGCTGGCCTAGTCGCCCGCCAGATCCGCTGGCTGCACGACTGGGGTGGACATGGCCTCTTGATCTTTCAATGGCCGATACTTGTCATGGACTTACCATGATGGGGGATAGCCGGGATCGCGATGCCAAAGCTCGAACCAGTGTGGGTGGTCCTCATCACAGATTGCACAAGAGTTAACTGTTGTTAGCTGGTCTTGCACCGCCGTTTCTGGAACACATCTTGTGGCATTGCCCACGTTTCGTTCGTTGGCCCAGTCGCCCGCCAGATCCATTGGCTGCTCGATTGGGGTGGACATGGCCGCTTGATGTTTCAGTGGCAGATACATGTCAAAGACTCACCATGATGGGTGACATCTGGGATCGAGATGCTAAATCACGAACCTGTGTTGGGGGTCCTCATCACCGAGTGCACAGGGGTTAACCTTTGTTGATCCCTTCTAGGGGTGCTATCCCGTGCCAGGATGCACTCTTCATTGTCGTGTGTGTGTGGAAGAACGATGGAGTGGAGATCATTGCCAACGACCATGGCAACCGAACCACGGATTTCACGTGTATCACTCCGGAGCAGCGCCAGTGGGAAACCGCCTGCAAGGCGGAGTTGCAGTGTTGGTCCGTAAGAACATTCCATGTCGACTTGCGTGGTCTCACTCCTGTGCAGGAGGAGCGGCACTTGCAGTCTGGATTGGTAACATCTTGTTTTTGTCGGTGTACCTTTCACCTAACGCGGACTCATGTGAAGTCGTAAATGAAACCACAGCTATGTTGTGTTCACTTCCTGCTCACCAAATTTGGGTTACCGGTGCTGATTTCACAATGAAATCCCTTTTCAGCATACCTTGCAATCAAGTGGCTTGAGAATGTATCACCCACAAAACCCAACACGATGGGAAGGTAAAAAAGTTTTAGATTATTACTTGGGAAACGGTTCGCAGTTACTTCAAAATGTACACACACTTGACATGAAGCTTGCTGATCATTTAATCATTGAAGGAGCTTTGGATCTCAGCTTTCGAAAAGCTGAAGCCTTCGAAATTGCTCCAGTACCAGTACTCCCTAGAATCAACGTTGACCTGGATCAATGGGAACAAGCTGTTACTGCTGCGTGGACTAAAATTCACACCCCTATGGATTTTTCTTCCAATGTGAACGAAATTTGGAAAAAAACTCAATGATGAACTTTGGAGTACCTTGGTTGCGGCCTACCTGTGGTACCCATCAGACAAATGTGTTACCCAAACCGTTGACAAAACGTAAACCTACTTCAGTTACTGTTCGAAGAATGCAGTTTTCACACCGTCGAAATGTTGGTTGTTTTGTCACCAATCAACACAGATGCCTCCAAAATCTTCATTCCAGGCTTCTTGAAATTCGACGTCGAGGGTTGTTGTTAACGGAAATTCATGATCAGGATCCTTTGTTGGCAAAGAAAATTTTCCGAAGTCCTCACTTTGACCGCCGTCTTGGTTTGACACGGAACATACAGGCAATCCACGCGCTTCTCCAAGAATGTGAAGATACCGAACGTAAAGTCAGACTTAGCGCATGGTCTGAAAAAATGACTAAGGACAAAGCAGCCCTTGCGTGGTTGCGTCGAAAACCTCAGTTGACTCATGTCAATGTTACAGCAGATGACACAGGCCCTGCGTCCATGTCGGTACAAGATGCCATTGCCAACGTTGCTGTTTTTTGGAGACAGATTTGGCACCGCCCCAAACTTAATGTACATACCGTTTGGCCGGAAATCCAACAGCTTGTCCCAGCTCATGCCCCATCAGTTTGGGCTCCCCTAACCGGAACCCACCTCAAAGCTGCAGCGTATGACAGCCGCAACAGAGCAGCTGGTCTGGACGGCTGGACACCACAAGAACTGATTTTGTTCAACATGGACATGTGGAATGCTGTTGCTGACTTTTATTCCCATTGTCTTGTGGTTGGCATTGTCCCTGAATTTTGGAAGTGTTTCCGACAAGTCCAGCTCGGCAAAGGTGATATCGCACCAACATCTGAGTTTGTGTATGCCAAGCAACTCCGTCCAATTTGTGTCAGTAGTCTTATTTGGAGAGTATGTCAGAAAGCACAGTTTAACCACACGGATGCCCAAACTTGGATTCGCAGTGTTTTTCCTTCTTGTTTCTATGGTGGCATCAAGGGCAGGGGTACTGATGATGCGATCGCTCCCCTTTTGTTCAAAGCCCACCAAGACTGGTTTATTGGAAGTTTGGATTTGGCCAAGGCTTTTGATATGACTTCCCCTCAGCTTGCTGCCAAAATACCCCTCAGATGTGGGATGCCCCAACACATCCTTACTCTTGTTCTTGACGTTTGGGAAAACCAAAAAAGATGGATTCAATATTTGGGACAAAGTTCTCCTGAACCTGAACTTGTCCGTAACAGCTTACCGCAGGGAGACAGCTGGTCAATGTTGACCATGCTTGCGGTTTTATATCCATGTGTTCTTGCTATTCAACATGAATTCCCTGATGTTGACCAGATTTTATATGCAGATGATCGGAGCTTTGCTGCTCCAAGTGCTCAAAGAGTCGTCCAAGTAACCCAACTTTGGGCTCAATGGGCGGCCAAGATGGGTTTGAAAGAAAACGAGGGTAAAGCTCAATTTTGGCACCAGTCCGCTCGAGGTCAACATTCCTTAGCCCCGAAAACCAAATCAAAAAATGACATGAAGATTTTGGGGTGTCATTTTGTGATCAAGCAAAATCGTCAAATCAATGATGGTGAGAAGCGGCGGCTCTCGGAATCTCAAAAAAATTTGCTCCGCACCCGAGCGTTGCCGGGATCCATCTCCCGCCGTTCCAGGTTGGCTCAAATGACCATGTGTCCTAAAGCTGGATGGGGGTGGGTATGTAAGAGACCATCCATTGGAGATAGCAAACCCCTGTTACAAGCTTGCAAGATGCTTTTCAAATGGCCTCAGCATGGCTCTATGGATTTGATTTTATTGATTCAAGGTCATCATTGGGACCTGATTTTGTGGCCACTGCCACGGTGATTCGCATTTGGCACCGGTTTTTCAAAGCCACTCGCCTGAACTGGTGGGCTTGGCAGTTCTCCTTGAATCCCAGGTTGCAATCGTGGTGTGATGAAGGAAAGCATTTGCAGCATTTGCTTCGAGAATCTTGGCGATTTACCCATTTTGAAAATTGGAAGCAATCTAATCGGCGTGATGCTGCTGGTTGTGAGGAAGTTTCTTACGGTCCTGCCAGGATCCGTTTGTTGCACAAACATCAATTTACTTCATATGGGTTTGGTGTGCTGTGCGGGGCTGCCGTAAGCCCTGCCAGATATCATGTCATGCTTCGAGGCCATTCTGATCAAATCCTCCAAGGATGCCCTTGCTGTGGTTTGCCAGCTGCAGAAGCCTCCTGGAAACATGTAGCATGGACATGTCCCTCTATTATTTTCCCCCCTGATATCTATCTTATCCATCGTCATGATATTTTGAATATGAGATTGGGATGGCCTAGCCAAAGTAAAGGTCTTGAGACCGTCAAATGGCTCGCTATGGTGCGAGCTAAGACCCGGAGGACCGTCGCGCCCCCCGCTAGCTCCGTCTCTCCTCCTGAGGGGGGGGCGGAACATCTGAGGCAATGGACCCCTTCACTGTTGCGGTCGTTGTCGTTGTCTATCACCAAATGTAATGTACTACCTTGACCCAGGTGGGTTCTGGATAGGCTAGGTTTTTTCAAGAGTTATATTGAGAGATTTTGAGTTATAAAGAGTTTTAAAATGAGAAAACATGGGAAAACATGGGAAAACATGAGAAAAAATGAGAAAAAGTGAGATTTTGAGAAATTTTGAGGAATTTTGAGGAAAAAAAATAATAAGGAAACCTAACCAAAGAAGATCACGTCACCCACAAGTTTGTTTTCATTTTCAAATCAAAAAAACATTTTATTTCAGTATTCGTTTTTTTCAGATAGATCCTTTTCAGGATGTGTCTTTCCAGATTATTTCCTTTTCAGGAGGTGTCTTTTCAGACTATATCCTTTTCAAGCCTTGTCTTGTTATACTATATCCTTTTCAACATGTGCCTTTGCTGACTATATCCTCCTCAGAAAAAAACTGAAAGTCGCACTTTTTTTTTCAGTGCAAGCCTGACATGAATTTATGAGACAACTGACATTAAAAGAAAAAAACATATGAGACATCCTGACATAAAAATCTATGAGACACTTGTAGGAACTGTATTTCAACAAGTGTCCTAAACTGTTCTTTTTTGACACCTTTTCACACCATTTCAGGACACTTGATAGGACACCTCATTTTTCAACATAAAACCCAAAAAAAATTAAAGAAATACCTACTATATTGATCTATATTATATAAGATATAGCATTATGCCCTTTATGGTCATTGATGGACATAACATGAAGATTGATAACAACACGTTTGACGCAATGAACCAGTTTATACAAGATGGCATCCAAACCTCATCGGAAGAAGAATCAAGGAGGCAAGACCCCGATTACTTCAAAAAGTATTATCTAAACAAACTCAAAACGCCTTTCACCTGTCCAGACTGTGGGACAACCATATCAAACAATACAAATTTATCAAAACACAAGAACACCAAAAAGTGCAGAAACTCTCAAAACTTTTGTTGAAACATTGACCTCAAACCTCACTCCAAGTCCCCCCAACACTTAACCAGTAAAAAAAACTTGAAGAACTATTACCTCATTATAGCAAGAAAGAAAAACGGAGAAGGAAAGACAAAGGACATTAGATCTTCTTTAAAAATATTCCATTTTGTGTTTTTCAAATTCCACAGTGGTTTTGCTTAATGTACCACCTGTTCGACATGCGCCACCTGTTCGAACAGGTGGTACATTAAGCAAAACCACTGTTGACTTGAAAGTGACAATGTGAAACAAGTCCCAACGTAACTGTAAAAGAAAAAATGACCTATGTAGAAACTTGTGATTTTCATGATTCATACGTAGAATTTTCAGTGCAAGCGTTTGCAACCTGATGTTTTTGCAGACGCGCTGTGAAATGATGATCTTCTGTGCAAACCATTACAAACAGAATACTTTGTAGATAGCAATTATCAGCGCAACCCTGGTATAATTACACTTTTCCTCTATGAGTACTACTTTTCCTCTACGAATACTACTTTTCCTTTACGAGCTTTTCACTGGAAAAAAAAACTCAAAATTTCTCAAAATTTCTCAAAATCTCTCAAAATCTCTCAAAATCTCAGGCATGGGAACCATTGTAATTTAGAAGTAGTATTGCTGACTGGAATGAAAATTTCTCAAAATTTCTCAAAATTTCTCAAAATCTCTAAATCTCTCAAAATCTATCAAAATCTTTCAAAATCTCTCAAAATCTCTAAAAATCGCTCAAAAAAATCTGAAAAAAATCAAATCATCAGTAAAAAGTAAAAACCATATATTCAAATGGTTTGCGCTGATAATTGCTATCTACAAAGTATTCTGCTTGTAATGGCTTGCACAAAAGATGTGAAACGATCCACCTCTGATGCCAGCAGGCCCACCGCTGATGCCATCAGCAGGCCCCCATGCACAGCAGCCCAAGCACCACGGCTGATGCCAGCAGGCCCACCGCTGATGCCAGCAGGTACAAAATTATTTAGGTCTGGAAATGGATTATTTTTGAAGAAGATCTAATGTCCTTTGTCTTTCCTTCTCCATTTTTCTTTCTTGCTATAATGAGGTAATAGTTCTTCAAGTTTTTTTTTACTGGTTAAGTGATGGGGGGACTTGGAGTGAGGTTTGAGGTCAACGTTTCAACAAAAGCTTTTAGAGTTTCTGCACTTTTTGGTGTTCCTGTGTTTTGATAAATTTGTATTGTTTGATATGGTTGTCCCACAGTCTGGACAGGTGAAAGGCGCTTTGAGTTTGTTTAGATAATACTTTTTGAAGTAATCGGGGTCTAAAGTTGTGATATCATAAGTGCCATCATCTCTAGATCTTGATTGCCTCCTTGGTTCTTCTTCCGATGAGGTTTGGATGTCATCTTGTAAAAACTGGTTCATTGCGTCAAACGTGTTGTTATCAATCTTCATGTTATGTCCATCAATGACCATAAAGGGCATAATGCTATATCTTATTTAATAAAGTAGGTATTTTGTTTTTGGGTTTTATGTTGAAAAATGAGGTGTCCTATCAAGTGTCCTGAAATGGTGTGAAAAGGTGTCAAAAAAGAACAGTTTAGGACACTTGTTGAAATACAGTTCCTACAAGTGTCTCATAGATGTTTATGTCAGGATGTCTCATATGTTTTTCTTTTTATGTCAGTTGTCTTATAAATTCATGTCAGGTTTGCACTGAAAAAAAGGTGCGACTTTCACTTGTTTCTGAGGAGGATATAGTAAGCAAAGACAAATGTTGAAAAGGATGTAATATGACAAGGCAAGGCTTGAAAAGGATATAGTCTGAAAAGACACCTCCTGAAAAGGAAATAGTCTGGAAAGACACATCCTGAAAAGGATCTATCTGAAAAAACAGATACTGAAATAAACATGGTCTGACTAGACAAATCCTGAAAAGGTTGCATGGTTTGAAGCAAGGACCAGGGTTGTACTTGTGTACTTGTGTGTATTTCTGACACATGTACTTGTGGGTATCTTTGATTTCTGGCAGTTGTCACAGAAATTGGACACATATTCTGACATTTGCCTTTGCCAGGAGGAACGTATTAATAAGAATATCTCAAAAAAATCAACCAATCAATATATATATATTACCATTTTTTTTAAAATTAGTTAATGCGTTGTTTTATATTTTATATATTACTATTTTTATATTACTGTTTTGTTTTACGTAAACCATCGTTTGGAATGCGTTGTCCTTGCGATATGCAAAACGTGAAGAGAGAAAAAAACATGTTTTTTTCTGACAAAGTTTGTGGTACTCCATTGTGTTCCACCGTGATACTTGGCGTGCAATCTTTAAGAAAAATAAGGGAAAAAAAGGAAACACATGGAAAACCCAGGAAAACAAAAGGCAACAGCGTTGCACAGCGTTGCAGTATCAACTCTATTTTTGTTTTATTTCTGTCTTCAATAACCCAAACCTACCTTATAGAGGACCCAGGGAACCAAGGTAGCACATTACGTTTGGTGATTTCAGGCTAAGTGTTTCCCAACAAATAACCTTTTAACCATCGCTCATACCGTATCATACCCATATTCCACCCTCAGAATTTTCATCCAAGTCATGGACATGGAACCTGCATTTTCCTCCAAGGTTTGCCTATGTTAGGCTGTTTTTTCCCCGGTTGTTAACACAGTTCCTGATCTGATAACTTAAGTTCCCCAAGTCAGTCGAATCCATTTTCAGGTTTCCATTTCACCAATTCAGCTTATTTTTCCTGTGATAAGTTCTCTGTAGAATCAATGAACCAACCGGCATCAACCAGTGAAATTGGGGGAAAGTTGGTTTAAATTATCAGATACCTCAGGTGAATCACTTAAAACAATGTAATTTTTGCGAAGAAAACTTGACCAGAATGGACAGATTCGCTGATGAAATTCTGAAATTCTTCACATAATTTCCCCATGGTGTTCTTCCATGAATTCCCATGTTTTCCCCATGTTTTCCCTACGTTTTTGGACCAAGATCCCAGGACATCGCCTGGAGTGACTTGTTGACTGAAGCGGTCTACTCCACCCACCTGCGCGAGAAGCCGGACCAGGGGCCCAGTGCCTCGGACGCGGCGTTTTTTTTTTCCGCTGGTTGGGAAGAGGTTAGTTAGGATGGAGGTGAATATGGTATAGTTACAGTATGTCACTCATGTTTTATCATTTTTATAGATGCAGATCTAATCCTCTCTCCCTACTACTAAAACACCCCCCAGTCCCCCTCCCAAATGGTAAACACGGTGATCGATTTTTATTATGGGATTGTTTGATTGCATTTTGTATTAAGGTGCCCCTAATATTCCAATGAACACCTTAATAACAAGAATAAAACAATTCGATTTCAAATTTGATTAAATCCCTTTTACAGGCCTATAATTATAGAATATTGCTAAAAACTGGATGTTGAAGTTTTCCCCTAATATTCCAATATTTCCAATGAAAACCCTAATAACAAAAATTAAAATAATGATTTCACATTTGATTAAATCCCTTATTAAAATCTACTCTATATAAAATATTGCCAAAAACTTGATTTCGAAACTCTTCCCTAATATCCCAATGAAAACCTTAATAATAAATAGTAAATAAAACTTGTGAGATGGGACACTAATAAAAAATCTCCAGGTGGCAATCTATCTTTATTAATAGGGGCTTGAACCCATTGTTTCACCATCCTGTTCTCATTGATTCTCAATTACCACAATTGAGAATCCAATTGTGCCCAAACAAAAAAAGAACGGAAGTGCCACACCAATCCTATTTTTGTTTATTTGGGGGAGTTTTAGTAATAGAACGAAAGGATTAGTTCCATATATATGATATATTATGATATCATATGACACCACTGTGATCCTGTTGCAGTTTTTTGATGGCCTGAAGGCAATGAATGAATTGAAATATTGTGCAAGATTGGTCAAGAGCTATCTGGGAAGTAGCAAAAGAAACCCACCTCTGACTTGGAGTTCGAAGTGGAAAACTTGACTTAGAGCCTCACACTTACCCTCCCGTGAACTAACAAAGCTCTGGAAATCCATGTGTTTCTCACTGGGAAATGACCCATGGCCCTGTGCAGCGTGAAAACTTGACCCTTGCTGAGGCTTGATTTCGTTCATTTGGGGAGGCCCGGAATGTCACGAGACATTGCCATGTGTGTGTGTGTGTTACTTGCTCTTGGGATAAACCAGTGGGTTTGGTGGTAATTGCCCATATAATCCCATATATGTGTTCAATTGAATGCCATTTTGAACATGTTCTGTCTTGATTGGGAAGTCAGACCTGGCAGATTTCAAGATCGCGACTTTTAGGTGATAGCACCCAATCCACTTTTCTACCTTGTTCCTAATTTTCTCGGTCGTTTCAAGTCGTGAGATAAAGATAGCAAGCCCTGCAAGTCCAAGTTTTCCTGCAATGCTCGCAGGGATTGGTATCGGAAAGCTGTTTTGCACCAGCATTGTGGGATGCTCGCAGCATGTGTTTGTATATTTTGTTCGCTGGCCATGGGAACATGTGCAAACTCGCACAGCCATAACTGGGGTGTTTTCCAGCCATGTTCGAGACGTAGAATATGCTGCATCATGCTGCATCCAATGCAGCAGTGCACAGCTCATGCATACAGCAAAAAGTTTCATCGATGTTAAAAGTTTTGTCAGGCTTCAATGCTGCAAATTTGCTCTTCCTTTTCTATCCACGGTTACATGGCTGTTGGAAATATTGTTTCCCGACCCCGAGGAATTCTGATGGAGAAAGTGGGCAACCGCGCTCCATACCTCATCGCTGCACTTGCTGCAGCATTTACCTTGTTGATCACCTTCCTGAATCTACCTGAAGAGTCCGGGGGCCCAGGTGAGTCAGGTGACGTGAACGGATGTTTTTTCGGGGGATTCCTCAATCCTGGCCACCAACCAGTAGAATGCTACGAGATAGGGTGTATTTTTCATGGCTCGTTCTTTTTTTGTGATGAGTCGATGGGGCAGATGAAGGTGGCATGGAGTGGAAGTGGGTTTATCATCATATGCCTTGTTAAATGTTGCCGTTTTCGGGTAATTATTCAGACACACCCACATCTCATGTTGCTGTTTCCGCCTATTTGCTACATACATATATATATATATATACGCATATATATATATGCACCAGTTTTAGTTCTATCCAACAAAATGTTGCGTAACATGATTGGTTATTTCCCAAAATGAGAAATAAATCGATAAATACATACACATACATATATATATATATATATTCACAATGTTTTTAATGTATATTTATATGTATATATATATGTATGTAATGTAATGTAATGTAATGTAATGTAATGTAATGTAATGTAATGTTATGTATGTATGTATGTATGTATGTGGTATACATATTTGATCCAATGTATATAATTTAATATAATATTATATATATATCCCGAACATATCCTACTTGTAAGATTGTTCGTTTCCCCATGACCTTCGTCGGTTAGGACGAGCCGCCGGGGGCGCTGTTGCAAGAAGTTAGGTGGCTCTGCGGCTCGGCCCATAATCAACCATGATGGGGGAATATTAACCATAACCTACATGAAAAAGAGATGTTTCTGGGGTAATTATGTCCAATTGGGATATACGAACAAAAACACATTCGTTGTTGTTTGGGATGAACCAGATCGATTAGTGTTGCTGCGAATGTGTCACCCTCTCTCTGCAAGTTTGTGCCTCTAGTGTAGCGTTTGCTGATGCAGTTTTGGAGCATATTGTCAACATTCCGAGGCACATTTGGGGCTTTGCTCGTTTGAATACAAAGATCACATCTACTTTCCAAAGGTTTGAGGTGCCAGGGTGGCAGAACTGAATTCAGAAAAGGTTCACCCAGCTGGCAGCCGTGCCCCAAAAAGGATGTGAACTACATGCTGTTATTGCTTCAGAGATGGGGATCAAAGCCTGTTATTGTCCTCAAACGTTTTTTTGGATGAAGATCCAGCTGTACAACAGCTATGATGTATCAAGTTTTGACCCAAAAAAAGCCCAGGAAATGCCGTTGGCCATTGTCGCTTGGCATTGGCGGGTTGCAAGCCGGTGGTCGGGGGATGATCCCGGAGCAGGCAAACTGGTTGCCACTGACTGGATTGGTACACGCCTTCTTTGAGGATATTGGCACTTGAAAAAGCTAGAACATGTGTTGACAAAAAAACCTACACTTAAGACCTACTTGCAGCTGCCACCGGCTCAAAAACCAAAAGAACCCAAGAAAATCCTGTTGGAACATGAATGATATTCCTCCCAATATGGGCATTGCTTGGTTCTGAGTTTGATTCTGCGGGTGCTTTGTGACCTATCCAACATCATTTTTCAAGGGGATGAACATACTAAGATCAGCCAGGGCTGATAGGTAGCACATGGGTTACACTATGTTACACTGTAGCCATCCCAGTTTTGAATCCCAATCCATATACATTTATATTAAATAATTACATACTGGTACATATAATTTTATATACGTAAGTATACGTAAATATATACTGTATCTAACCTCGACAGTGATCCCAATTTATGGTTTCAAACAGGTTGCTGCGGTGATTATCATCCCAGGTGGGCTTGGTGATTGGTTTGGGCGCTCTCAGTCTGGCCTTGCTCTCCGTCTTTGGCGGCAACCTCTACACCAAGGCCACCGTGATGCTGTTGATGATCTGCCCATAGAAATAGTTTATTTACCCACTCAAAAGGGTGATTTTCCATAGTTTTTTGTATGTTTACCAGAGGGTATTTGTTGTTTTTGCCTGGTCATGTACAGGAACAACAGGAGAAATTCGGAAAGTCAACATGTTGAAGAGGAATTCGGAAAAACATTCATCACCATTCAAGTCCATTAACATCCCATTGTTAAATTATTACCCCATGAACAAGTCGGGCATGTCCAATGGCCAAGTTTTTTTGGGATGAAGCGCTCAGAGGTGACTTTCCTTTCCAGGAATTTCTCATGGCTTGCCGGAAAATCCTCCATTTCGATCAGTTTCCGGTTAAACCTTCATTTATTCTTGGGTAAATTGTAACGACCTCAGTGTTCTCCCTCACTGGAAATCATGGTTTGTAAGGGACATCATCCCCAAATGGCCTTAATTCAGGTTAGTGAAATATTATCATCTACCCAGATTTACTTCGAGGATTTCCCAGCCATGTTTGATTACCAAAGGATTCATCGATCATTAAAATCCATCACATCCCGAGTTCGATGTTTTTTCCATGATCCCATGATTTTCCCATGATCTTCTCATAAAAATCTGCTTGGTGCTTTGGAACATTTTGATGATTTTTCCATAGGGAATAAGGTGAACAACTGACGAACTCATATTTTTCAGGGGTAGGTCAACCACCAACCAGAATCCCATTTATTAAAAGAAAATGGAATCTAGTGGGATAATCCACGAATTTGGGACCAACTAACCAGGCAAAAATTAATCCCCGTTAAAATCCCACCGGTTGACCGACTGTCGTCGCGGACAAAAAGGCGATTTGCGCTGGCATCCTTGCAGTTGTTGCGCTGAGCCGCCCGGTCTGTTTTTTGAGACAGGGTCGGAAGACGGTGGCTTTTAAACATTCATGGGGAATACCCTCTGGTAAACTTTCACATAACTATGGAAAATCACAATTTTTCATGGGAAAATTCACTATAAATGGTGATTTTCAATAGCTATGTTAAATTACCAGAGGGTATATTAGATGGGAATTATAATATATTAGATGGGAATTATATGGATTAAAACCCATAGTAATATGTTAATATTTCCAGACAGGGTCTAAAAACCCCAACTCCATTTAATATATTCCCATCTAGACATTCAGGGGGTAACAATGGGATATTACCCTCTGGTAAACTTTCACATAACTATGGAAAATCACCATTTTTAAGTGGTAAGTCAACTATGAATGGCCATGTTCAATAGTTTTTTGTATGTTTACCAGGCCGGGTAATGGATTTAGATGGGAATCTACTAAAGCAACATCATATCGAACTCAATGGCAAGGCTTGGGCATAGCTGGGAAAATCATCGAACTATGGTGGATTTCCATATGATAGGTGTAGAAAAGGGACAGGCACCTACATCACCTACAGTTTGAATGGATGCTTTTGAATTTCAAATAGCCAAGTTATAGCTAGTAGGCTGGGCCCCTTGTGGTAGCGAAGGTGCTGTGCAATGGAATATCGTGCAATGGGCATGAATGGGCTTTGTCACGACCTCACAACCACCTAACGATACACGATGGTGTGCAAGGTGGAAGTAAGTTTGTTTTGTTCAGTTCAGTCTTGGATGATTCCCAAAACGATGCCTTGACAGCTTCGAACATGTTGGCAATCTCATGAACGATAATCCATCTGTATACGTGCAATATTAGTACCTATGCACGCATATATAAATGACATATAGTGCACATAGGTATATAGTGCACATACTATAATTTGCGTCAATGTATATATATATATATACATGTTTTTTTTTTGAATTTACTTATTTATTTATTCATTTATTTGTTCAATTATTCATTTATTTATTTTTTTATTTACAGTGCATATATATATGTATATATATATATATGTATATATATATGTATATATATGTATATATATATATATATAAGTATGTATGTAGTATATTATGCATGTGTTGCCGTGTATCCTTCTGTGTTTTCTTGCATCCAATCACCAGGCTTAGTGTCGGTGACATTAACGCCCATTGTGGCGAAAGTGAATGCCTTCTTCTTTATTCAGAGCATTTGCAGCTTCAGCATCTCAGGAGTGGATTGGGTGTTGGCTACATGTTGGTTATTGTTGGTTGATCTTACGCCAAGACTACAGTTTGATTTTGCATTTATTGCAGCAAACACCAAAGGTCAATGTAACCTAGTGAACATAGTTAACTTTTTATCTTGGTGAACTGTTTACCAACTTAGTGATCGTTCAGGGGCCACACCTTGTATTTCTAGATATTTCTATATATATATATATGTATGTTCCAAAAGGATTTCGTTAGATATCCGGTTTCTTTGGGTGATTTGTGACTTGGAGAGGTTTTCTGTTACTTGGAGATAGTATGATATAGTGATATAGTACTGTATGTCTTTAGGATACATATATATATATATATACATATTATTTTTTTTTCCCGCCGGACATCCATTATGTTTCGGGGATATATATGGATATTTCTCTAGCTTTATAGATCCTGTAGGATACACAGTATCAATGGCCATTTCAGGAACCTAATTTCGAGGTGCCTACAATATATAAGGCCTATATAAGGCCTATATAAGGCCTATGTAAGTAAGGGAATATCCCCACAAAATATGGCCTTATATGGTACAGTACCTCCATTCTAAAATCCTGAAATTCCCGTTGACAGTATACCTGGTGGATATCCAGTATATTGCATCTCAAGATCGTGCCTATCAGTGTGCCAGAATTCGATGATGGGAAAAACATGAAGGCTAACCCCCCTATTAGGTTGCTCGTGAAAACCATGGTTTCCAGGTAAAAGAAACCCTGAAACCAATCCACTCCAAATCTTTGCACAGGAGCTTCTTTCTACTTCTTCACTGATGGATGCTTGGGCTGAATATGGCTGAACCAGAAAGTGGATTATCCGATGGTAGGAACCTCCCCACCATGGTTTAGACTCGGCTGACTATTAACTTGTTTTGTCTTGGGTCCTTCTGCCAAACCATAGTTTTGAGATGTTCTGATTCTTGATCCTGTCCAAATGTTGCATTTGTGTCGCCTTTTAACACCGTTGTTTCAGGAGAGTCGGATGTTTGTTTGTTCTATCGACATTTTAAGACTAGGATTTGGAGTTCTAGATGACTGTCCAGAATCGTGAGGTTCCGGAATGATCTTCATGTTGTTTGTAGTCCCTGTGCTTGTTGCTTACTGTACCGCGTGTCCATCGGTATAAGTTGGTTGACACCACCAGTCATTTTTGTACGTCCCTAAACCTTCATTTGAATTGCATTTTTTGATATTTTCCATGATGCAGAAACAATATAGCATATACGGTGTACACATTACAAGTACAATACATACGGTGTATATATATGTGTGTGTGTGTGCGTGCGTGTGTGCAATACAACATTGTTTTAGATATTTTTATATATTCTACAGTGTGATCATGTATTATATTAATATTATTTGATATGTTGCAGGGTGAATAATGACGAGTAAAACTATAGCCTTTTCTTAAATGGCCATCCGAAGCGTAAGAGTTGCCGTTTCTAAGGCCCTGAGGCCTATCCTGATGGACCGCATTTGTCCAAGGTCAGGTCATGGTTTTGGGCAGTTTTGGATTGGGATTGTTGGTTCATCACGTCGGCAAGAAATGCAATTATAGGATATTATTGATATTATAATCCCAATGAATGCCACATCAATATCCAATTGGAAGCGGACATGACATATCCGTTTAATTCCCAGAATTGCTAGAATGAACCGAACAGCATAGCATCAGAATTTGATGTATTCAATCAATAGCCGCGTTGATTATGCAAGCCGCTAGCCAAAGCGGATTTAATAAAAAAAACATGTTTTTTCTACCACACGAAAATTCAGATTTATATAACCGACGGGTGCAGGTTGAACCAGACAAGAGCTGTGATTTATGTAATGCAGCGAGAATGTGCAACTTGTCAGCCATCCAGCACACATGGAAGTCTAGCCAACTAGAAATAATGCATGCTGGGCATGACACCCAATTGCTCCAGGGATGTTGTGTTGCAGAGTTCGTGTTTTTTCCACAAGGGGTCGTCTTCAATGACAACCTCAGGTCATGTTTTTTTATCCCGGCTTGTAATCGCGGGGAATGGCCAAAACGCTGAACCACTATCTATTGTTATTTATAGCATTATTATTCTTATGATTAGTTTACCCATCACTATGATGTAATTAAATGTAATTAAGAACCTATTAGGCAGTATACTAAATCATGCGTTCATTGTATCCTGACTTAGCCTTTGCCATTGACAAGTCCACACGAAGTTGGACACTGGGTAAAGCTTGGTGAAACGATGTTGGTTGTTTCATGTCTCTTCAGGCCATTTTGATATGTTGGAAGTCCATAACATAATTCCCCCGTTCATATTAAACACCCCCCATTCAACAAAACCATGGTTAAATATGTTGGGAATTTCCACATATTTCCACATTCCATTGGGACCATGCAATTTTTAGGTGTTTAATATTATGGTGATGGGATGGTTTTCGGAGCCTGCGTTGTTTCTTTACTCGGGGGAGCCCTCATGGAGATGATCCCAAGCAATATAGCTTGAAACTTCCCAGGAAAAGGATGAATTCAACTGGTGAATGTTCCACATGCCTATGTGGATCAATACCGCTCAATACCTATAAATACCACTGGGGGCTGAACATCCATGAATCCCATCTATTTTGATGTTTTCAAACCCAGGGGTACCGGTGTTTTTGACCCACCTGGGACAGCCTGGAACAGGTAAAGATCATCGTTAACTGCCATCCTTTTAAGTAACACCCGCAACGGCATTTCCTTGCGGGATTACTACGCAGTCTATACAGTAATATTATCAATATTATTGTTATTATTCATATATTGACAGTAGTTTAATATTAATTGATGTTATTAATAATATTGATTGATTTAATATTAATTATCAATAATATATTGACAGTAGTTTAATATTGATAATATTGAACATTTACCTTAAATATAAGGGGAAGTAGCATTTGTCTTCGATGTTTCGCCGCTGTCGCGTCAGGTTTTTTATTCCTCCACCATCGGCCTTGCCTCAACGGTCACTTCGATTCTTTCTGGGATGAAACGAGTCCTGGTGCAGGGCAAACAAAATCATCTACTATACTGATTGTTGATTAATTTGGTACAAGTATGTATGTACGAGTTGTATATCTATATGTGGATATGAATGTATACACATGCGTGTGTGTAAAAATGTAAAGGTAATTACACCTGCATTCATTGGCTCTTTGTCAGTCATGGCATCATCAAAAAAAAACTTTCTTTGTAGTCATAATTTCCGACCATATCGCTCATGTAAGGGGTCAGTCTTATCCCTCTTGCAATTATTTAATACAACCCTTTGCCTCCATGTATGACACATATACCAACAGATACACTGAGCCGAAAATGGCGTCGTCATTTGGCAGCTAAAAGTACCATACACGGAGCACATATGGGTCAGGGATGGTCGGGGTTTTCACTCAACATCTCAGAATTCAAGGGAAGAAGTGTGAAGGAAATCATCAGAAAACCACCTTTTTCCAGTTCATGAAACCATCATTTTTCCTACATTTCCAGTTTCAACACCACCATTCTCCCAAATACATCCACAAAAAACAGGGCGTTTCATCGCCAAAGGTCTTCTCCCTGTTGGGCGTGGTGATCTACAACCGTTGGATGCAGCATTGGCGCTACCCCTTTATCCTTATGGCACCTTGGCGCAGCGGGAGAACATGGAGAACGGACGTGGGGACACGGCCAATTTTTGGCCATTGGGATATATCCAAATTTTGTGTATGCATATTATATATATATATGTGTGTGTGTGTGTGTTTGTTTCTGAAACCGAATGCTGACATATGTATATACATGTTATATTTATAGAATTATGCGGGTTGCCCGTGTTGATGCATATTGAAGGATTTGTTGCTAAGTTATGCATATTATACACATATATATATATTGTTACATCATTTATGATGTCCAACTCATGAGATAAGCAACCCTAGCTAGCTGGAAAATCCTCCACGCATATAGGTTTCAATGGGAACATCACCGATAAATGCATGGTTGAAGCCACCCATCTCAAGGGTCAGCTAATTAGAAACTATATGATGATATGTGCAATTCGCACATGTAGTTTGAACCTGTGCCCTGCTAAAGCTTAGCTGAACGTCGCCCACGAACATAACAACAATAATCGCAATAACAATAACAACAAACATATATGTATATATAATTCTATATATGTGTGTATTTCAGAACAATATTCAACTATAGTGGTTAATGGTAACTGTATGCAGACAATTCTCCCTTTGCTCCCCTCCCCAAACGCCAGATGGGGAGCTTGTTGTCTTGCGCTTGCAACTTGGTGAGCTGCATCGTCTTTACGCGAACCAACGTGAGGTGCGCCATGGGATTTTGCATCAGGGTTGCCCCAACCTGTGGATAGCAAGGGAGCTGAAAGAATGGAGCCGTTGGAGCCTCCAACTTTCATTGCATCGTTTCAGACATCACAAATCACGGCAATTCGGTCGGATGAGACAAGAAAGGTTGGTTTGAATATGCGCCGATGGTTGCTGACTTCAGTGAAATTAACAAACATGACAGGGGCTACAATTTCTGGGCAGTGGGTAGCTACAAAATCCTGTGAAGAACGGGGCCAACATACTCACTGGGCTTCAACCAAGCGTCATGATACTGATGGGGATGCGATGGGCATGCCAATCAGAGGTCTGACTTTGGCATATGATCATATTTACTCTACTAGACTAGACTCTACATACTCTTATGATTCCAATGATACCTTATGCAGGGAGTCACCTACATGTGGTGGAGTCACACATGTTGTTTGGTTTAGCCAAAAGCTCTCAGCAAAAGTTGTTTTTGTTGAGGATCAGGCCACCGAGGATACACAATATACTATACATTGATGAAACCCGATGTATATAGGCGTTCGTTATATCTATCATGTACTATTACCACTGTAGACAAGCATGAATACATAGATACATCAGCATATAGATATGTGCATATAATATGTATTCTCTGCAGTATACGGTATATATTTATCCGTGTAATATATATATATGTGTCTATCTAGTACTAGGTAGATAGATAGATAGACAGATAGATAGATGTATAGACTGTATAGAACTAAAGTGCGCATCAATGCATCAAGCCAATCTGCCGCAGGTTTGGCATCAGCGACAAGTTTTTCGTGTTGGCCTCGGACGCGGTGCAGACGGTGGTCATGGAAATTGTCCCCTTGGTGAAAAAAGGTCGGGACTCAACTTGACTCAACCAAGAAAAGTTGGGCTGTAAAGAAATGCCCGCCTAAAGAGTGGCTTGTTTGGTTCAATGATTTGGTTTGAAGGGAAAACCAATGCCCGAATTTCGTAATAGTTTCCTGCAGATTTTCTAAGCCATTCGGGATTTGCACTGCTTGGGGAAAAAACCGGCAGCCCGCAGTTGTGGCAATTGCTGACGAAGTGCGCAAGAATATGATATGAACCTTATGAAGCCATGGGTGTGATTTGGTGGATTTTTTCTGGCACAGATGTATTCAAACTGCTGAACAATGTTGGACGCTGGTTTAAGCCCCGACGATTTTCCCTGTATACATACTGTAACTTTACTTAAAGACTTAAAATTGAGACTTGCAATAGATCATATATTCGGATGGGAAGTGGTATTTGGTGTTAGCTGTGCTATGCTGCTATTGCTGGGATAAACCGTGTACTCTCTTCAGGGGTAGATCCCCAATGACCACCCACTTTGTGACTGGACTTATCAGGATATCTTTGGATTCTCGTTGACTCGTTGCCCCCAACTCGGTGTTGCCATGCTTTCCAAGTCCTGGGATGAATGCCCACTTCTCTGCCAACATCCAAAGGTGAACATTTAGCATTTGATATCACAATTGTCATCTTTGTTAACCAAATGTTTTTCACCCTCTACCTTTCAGGTGACCCCAAGCAAAGGGGCGGACATGTCCACAAAAGTGTTTTGCAATGTTCATTCAAACTTGGATGGTTCACTGAATTTATAGATCCCAAAAAATACCAAGCGCATGTTAAATACTGAACAAGTCCCAGTTGAAATGCTGGTAGCATTGTATTCATTGAATCCTTTCATTTTGCAGGCCCACGTAAGGGGAACAATTATCATTACTCGTACTAGTGAGATGACAATTAGCAACTATGTCTTCGATTATCTGATAATCTGATGTTTTTAAAGTAGTCATTTGAATTTCACCATGACTGAGGAATATTTTGGGAATATTTCTCTGTTGGTTTCAAAACCCAGTTGACTAGTTTGATATACCAACTGTTATTGGCTATTTAGGTGGTTAGTTACTTAGTTAGCTAATGAGTTCGTTCGTTGGTTAATTAAATTGGTGAGTTTGTTAAAATCATTAGCTCACCTCGGCAGTTCGTTAGTTGGCTTCGAAACTTAAATCCCTCTCCGGGACGTTGAGGCTTGGCTGCCGAATGTGCTGCTGACGTCACAACTATGCCCCAAAGGCTGCGAGGTGCGGGATGACTCATGGCGGATACCCCCATGAAACGGAAAGCTCCACTTATGTTATGATGTTGATATATGTTGATATGATGTGAGATCATGCCAAGATGAGTTTTACGATGTGGTAAGGGTGTGGTTTTCTGCCATTTCCAGGTGAAACTCAAGCTTCAAGTCGAATAATTACCCTCTGTAATGTATATAACATACTTGTAGCTATGAAAAAGCACCGCTTGTGATAGGGAATTCATCTACAAATGGGCAATTTTCGATATGTTAAACTTGTTAAATTAGTAGACATGTTTTGTTTCTGGTGTTTCAGAATCTGTTTCTGCAGCTTCATGAACGGCGAGTCATACTCTTTGTTCCGCTACAAGATGCAGAAACAGATGATTAAGGATGGCTAGGGATGCTTGTCCCTGTTCATATGCTGCTTAGACATATACATATATATTGAATTTTATATATATATATATACACATATACATATATGCATATATACATATACAGTTTTATGTACATATATATATATATATACATATACAAAGATGTTTACATATGTATATATATATATATATATGTATGCATGTATGCATATTTACATATACACATATGTACATATACACATACACACATACATACATATATACATATATACAGTTTACATATATACATATATACATATATACATTATACAATATATATATACACATATTTACATATATACATATACACATATATACATATGTACATATATAGATTCATACATATTTACAAAATATATACGTATATTATATATATATAGATAGATATATATACCCAAGTATATGTAATACACAAACACCGCATATCCCCAAATCGGGCAGCAGCTCAGCTCGCACTTTATTTTTACAGAGCAGGCGACGATGTTCGCTTTGCTGGCTGGAATGGGATGCTTGGCAGGACTGGATTGATATGAACATATATGAACCATGAAATCTGTAGATATCCCTCACACATACGACTTATTGTTGTTCATTGTTCAGAAAATCAACCCATGACCAACTGGTTGGATTGGTTGGAATCTCAGGATTTTTTGACGACCTCACTGTTCTCCCGAACCCTGGAATAATGCTTAATAAGAGAAATCATCCCAAAATGGCCGAACCTTTCAGGTTTGTGAATTATGATAATTTGCCCAAATCTACTGGTTGGTTATTACTGGGGTTCTACTGCCCGGTTTATTGGCGTTTTTATTGTAAACCATCAGAGGGATGATATCTATTATATAACCAAATAGATCCAAATAGTACATTGGGATGGAATGATTGGAATGGGGGTATATTTCATGGCTCATACGACGTATCAGGGTATACGTGCGTACTAGGGAGCAATATGCATATGTGCACTTTCTGAACTTCTGATGAGTCTTGTTTGTGCCAAGGAATCGTTTTGGAATTCCGGACTGGCATGCTGTTCAGCAAGACACATTATCAAACAATACATATCTAGTACTGGTATTGACACATATATTCATATCATACATTCATATGTATCATATGTATATATGCGTATTTGCAGATCCCTCACGCTAAACTCTGGATCACACACTTGCGAAGTCATGAAAGACAGTTTCTTGTCATGAATGCAAAGTCTGATTACCTCATGGTAGGTTGAAGGCATCACTCGGCCATACCGAGTTAAAAAGGCCAAGCTTATCCGTTGACATTTGAATGTCAGGTTGTTTAAAAGAAAAACCAATATTGCTCAATCAAACTTGATCATGAAATGACTGAATGACGGCATGCAGGTTCTTGGGTTGTCCTGATCCCATAAAATACTAACGGATACGAATATGACCACCAGCTATGACCCCAACATATTGGGTATGTCATCCAGGTGCATCATGCAGGTACGTTTTCACAACCTGAGGTGAGTGCCTTCATTGGCACAAGACTCACCAAAGGTCCTTGTGCCCCCTGCTATGAATTAAGGTGCAACGGTATCCATAATTTATGGAAGAAAGCAGTTAAAAACTAGTTGGTTGAAATCAGCCGCAAAAAGTGAGGAGCTCTTCGGTACAGAGCTTGACACACACAAAAAGGCACGTAGCCGGGCTTGTATTCCTTTAAAGGCGAGAATGGAAGACATCATCAAGAGATTTGTGAAAAAACCGCAGAGGAACATTTGCAACCTCATCAGCGTGTCAGTAAATATTTTTGCCACAGCCAAAAGGTTAGGTATGCTTGAACTGCCTTCTGTACAGGACGCGTTGGCAGTCTGTTTTGGAGAACCCTTTCTGTACATACAGCTGAATGAGTTGGTTGAGATCATCACGGACAAATTCTTTGGGAAACGTGTATCTGCGAATTAAGGTTGCACGGGACTTTAGTCCGGACAAGCGGAGACGCATGCTGCCAGCAGAATGGAGATCACGAATTTTCCATAGTGGAGGTACTTGGTACCTTACGGTTCGTTGCGCTACGTCAATGGTGAACCCAAGGAGTGTACCATCTTGGACGGTTTCCAACCCCACCGGCGCTTGATAAAAGAAACAATCGGAAAGCACTTGCATGGGCAGTGCGGAGCGAAAACGGTGGTCAAACAAAATGAATCTGTTGTCCACATATCTTGTGAACAGAAGCTGGAGTTGGCTGGATTGAACAAAAGTTAAATACGCATTTCTCCAGCTGCGCTCTATGAGCGTCACAGCCAAATTACTGAGAGAGGGAGAGATGTGTGATCCAATCCCTGCTCCACGATGCTGTACCCAAATTTGGTTGACAGCTTTAAACACGTGGGTGCTTAAAGAAGCCTGGACAATTGTCAAAATATCTTGGACTCGAACGGTCTTGATGTTCGATGATGTCTTCTTGCATTGTCCCACAAATGAAGTATGGACAACTGGCCCTTTCAGAGCCATGTTGACCGAAACTTGTGTTTCACCATGTTGATTGACCCATTCCGTGGTCAATTGTTGTATCGCATCAAGTAAACGTGATTGAGGGACACGGTTGAAAAATCCAACAAGATCATCATTGATGGCAGCAAATTGGACATCGTGATCTGTTTGAGTCCTGTTGATGGACATGTTTCCAAATTTCAGGAACAGAAAGTTGACCAGCTTCTTGCGGCCAAAGCATCACGCACATCGTATCAAGAAAAATAACTTGTGTGCTGCATGTCTGCTGAAGAAATTCACATAAAGCTTAAATACACATAAGTAAAATTGTCGGCAACCAGCTCCAGTTCGAGTGGACTACCATAAAAGTCCAAGTGTGTAAACACTTGGAACACTGGAGCATGAAGATGGTGCTTCTGTACAATGACAAAACGGCTGTCGACGTACCTGATTGCAAGATGATAAAGAAATTTGGTTGGGTCAGAACTTCTTGATAGGTACTGCTCCGCGATCTCTCGATAAGCGTCACGGCCAAGTTCGAAAGTGTCGGAGAAATCTGACTTCCTATTGCGGCGCCCCTGATTTGGCGCCATACAACACCAAGTGCTGTGAAAAAGTGAGTCCGCTGTACACGTGGGTCGACCCCCTGCCTTAAAACTGAAAAATTGAAAAACAGAAAAATCGCAAATCCCTTGGAAACAGGGGTTGACCCTACACACAAAGGCCTATCGCCGCTGGTATTTGTCGGCCACAACGCGCTGTGAATATCTGACAAAGCGAAGCCTTTCTGTACATATAACCGAGATAGTGCGTGCAACGAACTCTGTGCTTGACAGGACGGAAATGAATATTCACGAATTAAATGAGCTCGACTCTTCAGTCCGCTCAAACGCAATCGGAGGGTTCCGGCTGAAATGATTGTTCTTTCAGAAACATCAACATAAAAGCCGAGAAGTAAAATTGTCGGCAACCAGCTCCAGTTCGACTGGACTACCATAAAAGTCCATGTCTGTAAACACTTTGAACACTGGAGCCTGAAGATGGTGCTTCTGTACAATGACAAAACGGCTGTCGACGTACCTGATTGCAAGATGATGAAAATTTGGTTGGGTCAGAACTTCTTGATAGGTACTGCTCCTCGGTCTCCCGATAAGCGTCACGGCCAAGTTCGAAAGTGTTGGAGAAATCTGACTGCCTATTCCAGCGCCCCTGATTTGGCGCCATACAGCACCAAGTGCTGTGAAAAAGTGAGTCCGCTGTACTCGTGGGTCGACCCCCTGCCTTAAGACTGAAAAATTGAAAAACTGAAAAACAGAAAAAATCGCAAACCCCTTGGAAACAGGGGTTGACCCTACACACAAAGGCCTATCGCCGCTGGTATTTGTCGGCCACAACGCACTGTGAATATCTGACAAAGCGAAGCCTTTCTGTACATATAACCGAGATAGTGTGTGCAACGAATTCTGTGCTTGACAGGACGGAAATGAATATTTACGAATTAAATGAGCTCGACTCTTCAGTCCGCTCAAACGCAATCGGAGGGTTCCGGCTGAAATAATTGTTCTTTCAGAAACATCCACATAAAAGCCGAGAAGTAAAATTGTCGGCAACCAGCTCCAGTTCGACTGGACTACCATAAAAGTCCATGTCTGCAAACACTTGGAACACTGGAGCCTGAAGATGGTGCTTCTGTACAATGACAAAACGGCTGTCGACGTACCTGATTGCAAGATGATGAAAATTTGGTTGGGTCAGAACTTCTTGATAGGTACTTCTCCACAATCTCTCGATAAGCGTCACGGCCAAGTTCGAAAGTGTCGGAGAAATCTGACTTCCTATTCCAGCGCCCCTGATTTGGCGCCATACAACACCAAGTGCTGTGAAAAAGTGAGTCCGCTGTACACGTGGGTCGACCCCCTGCCTTAAAACTGAAAAATTGAAAAACAGAAAAACAGAAAAAATCGCAAATCCCTTGGAAACAGGGGTTGACCCTACACACAAAGGCCTATCGCCGCTGGTATTTGTCGGCCACAACGCACTGTGAATATCTGACAAAGCGAAGCCTTTCTGTACATATAACCGAGATAGTGCGTGCAACGAACTCTGTGCTTGACAGGACGGAAATGAATATTTACGAATTAAATGAGCTCGACTCTTCAGTCCGCTCAAACGCAATCGGAGGGTTCCGGCTGAAATGATTGTTCTTTCAGAAACATCAACATAAAAGCCGAGAAGTAAAATTGTCGGCAACCAGCTCCAGTTCGACTGGACTACCATAAAAGTCCATGTCTGTAAACACTTTGAACACTGGAGCCTGAAGATGGTGCTTCTGTACAATGACAAAACGGCTGTCGACGTACCTGATTGCAAGATGATGAAAATTTGGTTGAGTCAGAACTTCTTGATAGGTACTGCTCCTCGGTCTCTCGATAAGCGTCACGGCCAAGTTCGAAAGTGCTGGAGAAATCTGACTTCCTATTCCAGCGCCCCTGATTTGGCGCCATACAACACCAAGTGCTGTGAAAAAGTGAGTCCGCTGTGCACGTGGGTCGACCCCCTGCCTTAAAACTGAAAAATTGAAAAACAGAAAAACAGAAAAATTCGCAAATCCCTTGGAAACAGGGGTTGACCCTACCCACAAAGGTCTATCGCCGCTGGTATTTGTCGGAAGACCGAGATAGTGCGTGCAACGAATTCTGTACTTGACAGGACGGAAATGAATATTTACGAATTAAATGAGCTCGACTCTTCAGTCCGCTCAAACGCAATCGGAGGGTTCCGGCTGAAATGATTGTTCTTTCAGAAACATCCACATAAAAGCCGAGAAGTAAAATTGTCGGCAACCAGCTCCAGTTCGACTGGACTACCATAAAAGTCCAAGTCTGTAAACACTTTGAACACTGGAGCCTGAAGATGGTGCTTCTGTACAATGACAAAACGGCTGTCGACGTACCTGATTGCAAGATGATGAAAATTTGGTTGAGTCAGAACTTCTTGATAGGTACTGCTCCACGATCTCTCGATAAGCGTCACGGCCAAGTTCGAAAGTGTTGGAGAAATCTGACTTCCTATCCCAGCGCCCCTGATTTGGCGCCATACAACACCAAGTGCTGTGAAAAAGTGAGTCCGCTGTACACGTGGGTCGACCTCCACTTTTTTTGTGATTCCAAATGAGGAGAAGGAAAACAACACAGCGCAAAAATGTGGAGCAGACTCAACGCCCACATCGCAACTGACTTCTGGATTGTGGGAACGTGATGTATACAATACTTCAAAAACTGGCGGAGGTGGTTAAAGACTTCAAAAAGTTTCAAAGGTAACCACTCTCGCCATGATATGACTAGTCAAGCTGTCAACGCTGCTGCGTTAGCTATCAACTGCTGAAGACCTCGAGGGGGGAACTTCAAACTTTGTTCCATTGGTAATCCATACTGAACAGCCGCCTCTTGCAGCTTTGCCTTAGGCACCGCTGCATCTTAAAACATTTTGGCGAATTTGGTGGCTTCTTGTTGCGTTTCTACGGGAAATTGCTGAAGCCACTTCTTTAGTGTCGGGTCAGAAGTACCTTTGAGCGGATACTGCTTCAAAAGGTGGAGGAGTTGCTGGAGTGAAGAAGCCCCAGTTTGCAAAGAATGTCCCGTTGACCTGGTGGTGGACCGTGAACTTCAGAAACAGAACGAGCTGTTCCAACTGACCTACCTCTTTGAGATCTCGGAGTGGACCTTGGAGAATAATGATCACGATGATGGTGACGATGATGGGATGTTCGATGACGACGTCTTGTTCTAGATCTGGAGCAATTTGATGTTGTACGTCTTTCTTGTTTGTCATCATCGACTCCAATTGGCACCACAGATTGGATTGTTGACGGCCGACGAGGTACGGTGACCGTTCCTGGAACTGCGGCTGGGGCTGCTACCGGAATTGCTGAAGTAGTATGTGATGTCAGTGCCAGTCTTGCTGCTGGCTTCGCCGGAGCTTTCGGTGGCCGAGGTGGAGTTGGGTCCACGTTGCCGACCACATCTAGAAAAAGGAAAATGTGTTGTCTAATATGACAACTTTTTTAACTGTACAAGGATTGATCAGTTAGACAACTAACAAGTGGTGACGTATTAGTATTCACTCAACTGTACACCAAAAGGCATTCATGTGTACAAACACAATTCATCCGTTTGGAATTCAATGCTGAGGCTTCAAGTGTGGAATTCAGAGAATTCATCTTATTGGTGACTATCAGTCTCCAAAGTTGTCAAAGGTCAAATTCAAGTTCAAACTCGGTGGATTCAAGCTATTTTTGCCGGATAGCATACCGGGATCTATTCTCTCAAATGCACGCTTTGTGTCGGAGACACACATTCAATCATTGCAATGAGCCACCGTGGCTGAATTCAAGAGTCAAATTCACTTGTGGATTCTCGCACTCCCAGGGGAGATACGACGCCTGGAATTCCAGGATCACGACCGGACTTTGACAGATCCCACGGCCGAAATACACACTTGCGAAGTCATGAAAGACAGTTTCTTGTCATGAATGCAAAGTATGATTACCTCATGGTAGGTTGAAGGCATCACTCGGCCATACCGAGTTAAAAAGGCCAAGCTTATCCGTTGACATTTGAATGTCAGGTTGTTTAAAAGAAAAACCAATATTGCTCAATCAAACTTGATCATGAAATGACTGAATGACGGCATGCAGGTTCTTGGGTTGGCCTGATCCCATAAAATACTAACGGATACGAATATGACCACCAGCTATGACCCCAACATATTGGGTATGTCATCCAGGTGCATCATGCAGGTACGTTTTCACAACCTGAGGTGGGTGTTTTCATTGGCACAAGACTCACCAAAGGTCCTTGTGCCCCCTGCTATGAATTAAGGTGCAACGGTATCCATAATTTATGGAAGAAAGCAGTTAAAAACTAGTTGGTTGAAATCAGCCGCAAAAAGTGAGGAGCTCTTCGGTACAGAGCTTGACACACACACACACACACACCATCGTTCTCTTTGATATTTTGTTGTTTGTTGTGGCTGAGGCAATCTGGGCGGACACTTGGGGAACTACTTTGGTGCCTTCCTTTTGCAGCTCTTAGGCATGGCCCTGTGACCTTGTTGTTTTTTCCATAGCTGAGTTAGACCATGGACCGATGGATTGTTTGATGATGATTTCTTGATGGTCCCACGGTGGTGCCCTGTAGGGGTTTGCACCATGGTAAACCACAGGCGTCCAGCCGACTGGCGCGGCGGGGGATGAAGAACAATTCCAAAATTTGTGGCTTGCGGCGATAGCTGCTCAACTGCAGTCGACGGCTGGGGTGACGACGTCTGCGTCGTCCGACTATCCCCTCCATGTGTTTCATTGAAAGAAGACCAAGACCCTTTGACAAAGAGGGTGATCATGGGCCTTTGGACCTATTTCAACAGGCTTCAACAGGGTCTTCAACCCCCAGTAGAAGGATGTAGAAGGAATCCGCAAAATTCCTCCTTGTGGATGACCATGCCCAGATGTTTGGTGTTGAATGGGAATGGCACATGTTTGAAAACGGGTGTGATTTCGGTGGCTTACGTGACCAAGATGTCGCACTGGGTCCAGATTGCAAGACCTAGCAACCATGGACTTGATGTAGTAAGTCAATGTAAGTCATCCCATTTGGACAGGAGTTCAGCATATTGTCATCATTCATTATTTATATCCGACATTTGGCTGTTGAAATCCCATTTCTTTCGGTTGAAGACTCGCCCGTGCCAAGGTGCATGCAATTGCCCCATGTATTCCTTTGGTCTTGCAACTCGGCACGGCAGGGGACTAGATTCGGTGCGATCTCATCGAGGTCTTGAGATATTTTTGGTGGTTAACTGACTGGCCACATCTGGCCACTCTGCAGGGTGATGTTTTTGGAAGGAACATATCTCCAACCCTGTCTCCGGACCTTCAAATGTTGCAGGGAGTCGTCCCTCTCATAAGCTGAGCTAGATACATTTGGATATTAAAAAAAAAACTCACTGCGCCCTCAATGGAAAGATGGTGATTAGTAGGGGTAACTATTCCAAGATAGTTTTCTGGTTGGTAGCTTGGAACATGTTTTATTTTCCATAATGTATGGGAAAATATTTCCCATTGACTAATATTTTTCAAGATGGTTAAAAACAACCAACCAGATTATAATGAAAATGTTTGATGGTCACCCTGCAGGCTTGTACTGCTTACGGCATGGAGACGTGTTTGTTCGACGTGCATGGAGACACCCAAAATTCAACTTATGTACTCTATGTTGTAATTCATGTATATTATCATGTGCATATTAATTAATTAATTAATTAATTAATTAATTAAACAATTAATTAATTAATTAATTAATTAATATGATTATGTCATTGATTTGTTTATTTATTCATTTATTTATTCATCCATTTATTTATTTATTTACGTTACCATTTGCCATTGCCAAGGAGAACATGATCATCCAAAACCTTTTCTTGGGGAGTTACAGGTTACCCCTCAAGCCGAAGACAAATCAAACTCTCAATAGCTGTGGGGTTAGGGCTGGTTCTGAGACATGGAAGTACTCATCCCAAGTTACAGTACCTCTTGGCTATCTCAAATGGATGTATTATAACCATCAACCTTAGGGATATAGTGAGACTTCCTGTGTGTATGTGATAAAATGGGATGCATGACCAACTTAATAATTATATACGGTATAATTATGTATGTTTATGATATATTATGATATCTCCGTGGTATAATTCATATAAGAGGCCTTAGCTTTCTTTTCTTATATGTTCTACCTTCTGGTTGGTTCAACCTTGCTCCGCACCGGGTGACCAAGCAGCGTGCTGAGGGTTTTCCAGCTGATTCCCAATATCAGCCAGAAGGATCCCATCAAGGGGTAACTGGACTCGGCATTAGCAGCTGCTACTGTGCATTGTTGGGTTATGTTGGATTATAGTTGGGTCTAATTTGATGGATTTAATGGCTGTAACTCATGCATTTCTTGTTGGGTGTCTAGGTGTGGCTATTTCACAATACATTGAAATTATTTCAAAACTGTACGCATAGAGATCTGTGTCCTTGCCTTTAGAATTTGACCCTGAGAATTGAAAATCTTCGTTGAAACATGTTGAGAGACTGAGTTAGACTTTGCTCAAAATCGTCTCTTCAAACCTATGGTCATGGCTTTCCTTTTTTCTGATCAAGCACAACAGGGACAATTCAAAATGGCAGACATTACCCCAGCAGATGCTTATCAAAGCCACCGGAATGAACGGGAAAATGCCACTTTTTGTAGGTTTCTCCAGAAAAATGGATTGCTTACCAGCAGTTATGGCAATGGTACATTCGGGAAAACCAGGTCTGAAGTTCAGGTCGATCGTTTTTGTTGTTGAAACCCACTATTGGTGTTTAATCCCATGATTTTCAGAGGACACGATGGACATCCTTGAAATGTTCAGGAGTTTCAGGGGTGCCCCGCATTTTTTCGGGCACTTGATATGAACTGAGGGGGGTCGAGTCATACTTTCTGAAGTACGACCTGCGGGTTGAGTTCGGGGGCTAGCCGTACCTTCCCAGGTAGCATTTGGATCCCTAGGGATGTTTTTTTTTCCTCCGTCCATCACCTTCAGAAAGATCTGTGCCCCAATATTTATCCAGAATGTCAATGCTGCTGTTGTTTTTTTATACTTACATGTGTGCCGGGAAATAGTGGAAACTAGTCTTCCAATCCCTATCTGGCAGGGTCTATGTTAATTTACTAGAGGGTATTTTGTGAATTAAAAAATTGGAGGATCCTCATTTAAGTGAACGTATCAAGGGAAAAATCCAAACCGGAAAGCCTTATGTTTTGATGGGGAAAACTTTGAAAACCCATGGTTTGCAAGATGTTCCCTGATTTTCCAGTGAGACAAGGTACACTCTGGTAAGTTAACATGGAAAATCAGCAGTTTCAATAGGTCATGAGTCATGAATCTATAAATTGATAATTTTCCATAGCTATGTTAGATTGCCAGTCGTACCTTCAAAGGATCTCTGAAGGGCAAATCATTACCCGAAACCATGGGTTTCCTGTGGATTCTCCTTAAACCAAGTCGGGGATATCTCCCAATACTGGGTGTGTTGATTGAATCTCTACTTGGTACATTTGATATGGACCAATTCGGCTTGTCAAAGTCCAATTTGTGTGAAACAGTTTTGCTCACTGGAGAAGATTCAGAGTGTCACCGAGGAATTCAGATTGTTCAGCCGGATGGCTCCAAAGAGGGAATCAGTGCTTCGCAGTATACCCTCTGGTAAACTAACATAGCTATGGAAAATGACAATTTTTTTATGGGAAAACTCACTATAAATGGCAATTTTCAATAATTAGCTATGTTAAATTACCAGTAGGTGATATCAGGTGATGAATCCCACACCAGGGAATTCCATAGAGCTGGGAGCATTGGTTGTGTTGGAAATCTAGGGAGATTTGGAGATCAGCAAAATTCCCATATGTCGTAACTCAGCCCCTAACTTTTGGTTTTTTCAGCACCAATTTCTGTTAATTGGCATTTGTTAGGGCCAATTCCTGCAACCTTGGCAACCTTGGATTTATCAACATTGGTTGATACGGGGGGGTAAAAAATCGATCTGTTTATATTGATGAAAAAATACCGCCAAGTGATGGCCAAGGGGTCAACATCCACCGGGCATTTCTTGCTCCGCCCAGATCGAGCTCTCCACCAAGAGCCGCGCTATGAAACGGTAGCGAAGCACAAAGTTTCACTCACCCAGCCGGGAGATGGGACAGGAACAGCGCTTCGCAGGAAATGGGATGAAGTTGGGTTCATCTAATTTGAATAGGGTAAACCCACTAGTAAACAATCCTCAAGATATCTCAAGATCAGAAATGGATGGGAAAAACTCCCTCCAAAATTGGAGGTTTACTGTACTGTTAGGTTTAGCACATGAATCATCATTGACCGGCGTTTTATTCATGAAATCAATTGTCCCAGGCTTAGATTCCAACTGAGTGTCAGAAGTAACCCGCTTTGGTATGCTTTGGTAAGAACACAGTCACATACTGCATCACATAGCTGGTTGATGGTTTGGAACATTTTGATTATTTTTCCATATATTGGGAACATCATCATCCCAACTGACGAAGTCCATCATTTTTCAGAGGGGTAGGTCAACCACCAACCAGAAGATATGGCCCATGCGCTACTCAACTGGGTCAACCTGGGATGGGTCAAGTGGTCTACGCAGCAACTGTTCTGTTTTAAGGTGTCTGAGATTGCCCATGTCAGAAACCCATGAAATACACAGCCTGCACTTAAGGACACTTGAGCAGTGTTCAAACATGTTCAAACTATGTTGGTTGATGATTCTACGGAGTTATGCTAATGTACCCAATATATTCAAAATTAGCAGAATCCGTTGTGGGAACCCCTATTTACCAACCAGCAACGTGGAATGACGTTGTGGTTTTTCTAACCCATCTCCAGTGCACAACCACCACAGCAGCCAGGTAGAGCTGCGCCCGTCGTGTCACGGTCCGAGACGAGGGAGTTACCCTGACACAACCGAATCCTTGAAATGCCAGCGTGAAACCAGAGGAAACAGGCTATACTATATTATTGTGGATTTGCATGGAGTTTGAACATATTGATTATACATGATTATGCTATGTATATATGCAGGGATATATTTATTTATTTATACATTTACATATGTACATATACACATACACACATACATACATATATACATATATACATATATACATATATACAGTTTACATATATACATATATACATATATACATATATACATATATACATATATACATATATACATATATACATATACATATATACATATATTCATATATACATATATACATATATACATATTTACATATTTACATATATACATATACTCATATATACACATGTATACATATATACATATATACATATTTACATATTTACATATATACATATACTCACATATACACATGTATACATATATACATATATACATTTTTACATATATACATATACACATATTTACATTTAATGTCAAGTGAGGATTAATAATCCCCCCCGGATTAATCAACCACCATTGCCCAAAAAAAAATGTAATTTAAAAACAGGTGGTCCCCACAGATTAATAAACCGGTGGGCCTACCCCCGATTAATCAACCACCACTTCGGAAATCCATTTTTTTATCCAACATTTTTTATTTCCAATTCTATTTATTTCCAATTGTTCCCCACCTGCCAGGTGAGGGTTGTTAGATTTTATGTCAGTTGCCTCCTCGTCCTCCTCCTCCTTCTCCTCCTTCTCCTCCTCCTCCTCCTCGCCTCCTCCTGCCTCGTCCTCCTTCCTCGTCCTCCTCGTCCTTCCTCGTCGTCCTCGTCGTCCTTGCTCAACTGCGACCCGCGATCCACAGTGTTCTCTGCCGGACCTCAACCACGACCATCCACGCCCAGTGTTCCCTGCCGGACCTCAACCACGACCATCCACGCCAGTGTTCCCTGCCGGACCTCAACCGACCACACGCCCAGTGTTCCCTGCCGGACCTCAACCGCGAGTATCCATGCCAAGTGTTCCATTGCGGACCTCATGTAGGAATGTCATATAGACTGCCAGATAGAATGCCAGATAGAATGTCAGATAGGATGCCAGATAGAATGCCAGAAAGAAAAGAAATGCCAGAAGAATGCCAGATAGAATGCCAGATAGAATGTCAGATAGGATGCCAGATAGAATGCCAGATAGAATGCCAGAAAGAATGCCAGAAAGAATGCCAGATAGACTGCCAGATAGAATGTCAGATAGAATGTCAGATATAATGCCAGATAGAATGCCAACATATATGCCAGAATATATGTCAGATAGAATGCCAAAATATATGTCAGATATAATGCCAGATAGAATGCCAGAATATATGCCAGAATATATGTCAGATAGAATGCCAGAATATATGTCAGATATAATGCCAGATAGAATGCCAACATATATGCCAGAATATATGTCAGATAGAATGCCAAATTATATGTCAGATATAATGCCAGATAGAATGCCAGAATATATGCCAGAATATATGTCAGATAGAATGCCAGAATATATGTCAGAATAAATGACAGGTAGAATGCCAGAATATATGTCAGATGAAATGTCAGAAAATATGTCAGATAGAATGCCAGATAGACTGCCAGATAGAATGCCAGGTGGAATGTCAGGATATATGCCAGATAGAATGCCAGAATATATGCCAGAATATATGTCAGATAGGATGTCAGAATATACTAAATATATGTCCAAATATACGTCCTGACATGTCATGGTGGGGATCACACGAAGTAGAGTAATTTTTTACATTTTTTTAATCATCATTGTTATACTTCAGGTTTAAGTTGATCATTGAAAATTTCAAAAAACAACTATTCCCCAAATGATCGATTTCTAATTAAAATATTTATAAAAAACATCAGTTTGGATAGCTCCCAAAGGGTACCCCCCATGAGCCCATGTCCCCCAGTAATAATAACCATGGTTTGCCCCTGATTAATCAACCACCTTTCTGATCCATGAAATTTTAACAAATCCAATGGAATTCTATTAAGATCTAATTGACGTAAGCCATATCCAAAGTTTTATGGTTCAGAATTGCTTATTATTAAGGGGTGATTTTCTAGGTACATCCTACCTTCTGGGGGGGGGGTTATTAATCCGGTGTTGGCATTATACATATACACATATATACATATATACATATATACATTCATACATATTTACAAAATATATACGTATATATATATATGATATATATATATATAGATAGATATATATACCCAAGTATATGTAATACACAAACACCGCATATCCCCAAATCGGGCAGCAGCTCAGCTCGCACTTTATTTTTACAGAGCAGGCGACGATGTTCGCTTTGCTGGCTGGAATGGGATTCTTGGCAGGACTGGATTGATATGAACATATATGAACCATGAAATCTGTAGATATCCCTCACACATACGACTTATTGTTGTTCATTGTTCAGAAAATCAACCCATGACCAATTGGTTGGATTGGTTGGAATCTCAGGATTTTTTGACGACCTCACTGTTCTCCCGAACCCTGGAATAATGCTTAATAAGAGAAATCATCCCAAAATGGCCGAACCTTTCAGGTTTGTGAATTATGATAATTTGCCCAAATCTACTGGTTGGTTATTACTGGGGTTCTACTGCCCGGTTTATTGGCGTTTTTATTGTAAACCATCAGAGGGATGATATCTATTATATAACCAAATAGATCCAAATAGTACATTGGGATGGAATGATTGGAATGGGGGTATATTTCATGGCTCATACGACGTATCAGGGTATACGTGCGTACTAGGGAGCAATATGCATATGTGCACTTTCTGAACTTCTGATGAGTCTTGTTTGTGCCAAGGAATCGTTTTGGAATTCCAGACTGGCATGCTGTTCAGCAAGACACATTATCAAACAATACATATCTAGTACTGGTATTGACACATATATTCATATCATACATTCATATGTATCATATGTATATATGCGTATTTGCAGATCCCTCACGCTAAACTCTGGATCACACACACACACACACACCATCGTTCTCTTTGATATTGTGTTGTCTGTTGTGGCTGAGGCAATCTGGGCGCCAACTTGGGGAACTACTTTGGTGCCTTCCTTTTGCAGCTCTTAGGCATGGCCCTGTGACCTTGTTGTTTTTTCCATAGCTGAGTTAGACCATGGACCGATGGATTGTTTGATGATGATTTCTTGATGGTCCCACGGTGGTGCCCTGTAGGGGTTTGCACCATGGTAAACCACAGGCGTCCAGCCGACTGGCGCGGCGGGGGATGAAGAACAATTCCAAAATTTGTGGCTTGCGGCGATAGCTGCTCAACTGCAGTCGACGGCTGGGGTGACGACGTCTGCGTCGTCCGACTATCCCCTCCATGTGTTTCATTGAAAGAAGACCAAGACCCTTTGACAAAGAGGGTGATCATGGGCCTTTGGACCTATTTCAACAGGCTTCAACAGGGTCTTCAACCCCCAGTAGAAGGATGTAGAAGGAATCCGCAAAATTCCTCCTTGTGGATGACCATGCCCAGATGTTTGGTGTTGAATGGGAATGGCACATGTGTGAAAACGGGTGTGATTTCGGTGGCTTACGTGACCAAGATGTCGAACTGGGTCCAGATTGCAAGACCTAGCAACCATGGACTTGATGTAGTAAGTCAATGTAAGTCATCCCATTTGGACAGGAGTTCAGCATATTGTCATCATTCATTAATTATATCCGACATTTGGCTGTTGAAATCCCATTTCTTTCGGTTGAAGACTCGCCCGTGCCAAGGTGTCTGCAATTGCCCCATATATTCCTTTGGACTTGCAACTCGGCACGGCAGGGGACTAGATTCTGTGCGAATCTCATCGAGGTCTTGAGATATTTTTGGTGGTTAACTGACTGGCCACATCTGGCCACTCTGCAGGGTGATGTTTTTGGAAGGAACATATCTCCAACCCTGTCTCCGGACCTTCAAATGTTGCAGGGAGTCGTCCCTCTCATAAGCTGAGCTAGATACATTTGGATATTAAAAAAAAACTCACTGCGCCCTCAATGGAAAGATGGTGATTAGTAGGGGTAACTATTCCAAGATAGTTTTCTGGTTGGTAGCTTGGAACATGTTTTTTTCCATAATATATGGGAAAATATTTCCCATTGACTAATATTTTCAAGATGGTTAAAAACAACCAACCAGATTATAATGAAAATGTTTGATG